GTTCGAATGTTTAACCAATTATAAATCACCATTCAATTTCATGTGATTGACCAATCACGAGAAAGTTATCCTATAGGCAAATGAGTAGGTATTTTATTCCCTGGCTACCATGCACATCGGTTTAGGGAGATCAGATTGGCTAATGCAAATCAATTGCTTAGGTAACATTTTAAATGTACTTTTTGATAAATTGTGACAAAAGCCATTTCTAGCTCTGGGAAAAATAATCGAACATTGCTTAGAAGACAAAATATACCTGCCGTTTATTGAACAACCTTAGATTATACTGAAATAAATAATAAGTGGGAACGTTTTTGCTCAAGACTGCCTTATTACGTTGGATTTAAAAAAACTTTTATACTAACTATATATTGAATTTTAATAAGAATAGGTTTACTGTAAAAGCAGTTCCGGGTTTAATACTTGAATAAGTTTAGTTCTTGGGTCCGTCAGCCGAGACAAGTTTTGGTTTATAGATCGTAGATTGTAATAATGAGTTTGGGTTTACTAATAACGAATACCGCGTTTACTCCACTTTACATATATCTATCTATTCTCTGTATATTTAAATAAATTGATTATTTTGTATATTTGTTTAATTTGTAACTTCGTTTTCTAGTATTAAAATTATATAGATTATCCTCCTCTACACATCTGATATCGATATGTCTATCTGAAGTTAACCAATAGAAGATTCTAGATTTGGGATATGTACATTTTATTTCTGCACGTTAACATAAAAGATTTCATAAAATATATTGTAATCCTATTTATGGTTAGGATTCGTTATTTGTTTTTTTCAAAAGAAGCGCTGATACGTGGATCGAATGTTTGATCGTGTTACAGTTAATTGACATTTGTTATAAGATAATTGGCTGATATGTAAAATTGAAGATATTGATACAAGCAAATTTTTAAGTTCTAAAAAGCCACAAAAAGACTATCTCGACTCAATTTTTAATTAGATATTCAAAAATTGAGTTGAAAAAATCATAAAAAAATATAAAAAAAAATGTCTGTTCGAATATTAACAACTTTATCGCTTATAGCTTTAATATTATCTGGTTTATTTTCGTGTCTTGTTTCGGCTATTAATCAAAATCAAAATGATATAACTAAAGAAGAAATAAAAAGGAAACACGATTATAAACATACTTTCAAACAACCATATTATTATAATGACACTGTACCATTCTTTGACACATACGGAAGTAAGTATTCTTCCCTTGTTTATTCAAAAGCTGTGAATACATTCGATCATATTTATTCCATTTAAACGATTCGTAGACGCCTTACTTGCGCCCGAATTCATTAGATTAGCTCCTAGTGTACCAAAGCATTCTGGGTCAATATGGGCTCAGTTACCAAACCCTCACAAAGAATGGGAGGTGGAATTTACTTTTAGAATTTCAGGGAATTACTTTCTTGGTGGTCGAGGAATAGCATTTTGGTATACCAAAGAACAAAGTAAAGAAGGCTCGTTGTTCGGGTGTAGTGACAAATGGGATGGACTTGCAATTTTTTTTGAAACTGTGGATCATGTTAGAAAGGTAATTACATATATATGTGACTATAGTGCATATGTATATATATATATATTTTTTTTTTTGTGTTTAGCACACTTATCGTTTGTATATTCGAATAGCGTGAAAATCCTTACATAATGGCACATGTCAATGATGGTTCTGTCTCCTATAACAACATCTTGGACCCTTTTGCCGTTAAAATGGCTGGCTGTTACCGAATGCTTCGTAATACTCAGGGACTAGTATCTGCAAGAATTTCTTACTATAATAATACACTGAGGGTAATTTCTACTTTTACATATTCAAATTAAATTATGTTATTTTATATAATTAATATAATTTCCTTTTTTTTGATAGTTGGTGATTGATACCACTGATGGAGGCAAATCTTATAACGTTTGCTTTTCAAAATCCGGGGTATCTTTACCGTCGGGTTACTATTTCGGAATTTCTGTGAGTTATAATTACGTTAAATATTTCAACGTTGATCCGACGAGTTTCTAATTTTTTTGTATTTCATTTAACATATAAATTTGTAGGCTGCTGCGGAAGGTGCTACACCAGGTATGCATAAAAATGGTAGTACGGCATAAGGATAAACTAGTTGACATCATACACGTCACTCTCGATATAACGTAGTACCTCGGGCACATAGTGAGGAATTTTTTAAAATCTGCTTGATCATGAGTATTATTAGTAAATCCATTATATAAAGTAGTATTTATTATGATGTGGATCTGAATCTCGATCCACTATATCAAGATTTTACTTAATCTCCGTTATATCAAGAGTCCGTTATATCGAGAGTGACGTGTAATTAAAACTAATCCGTCCATAGTAATGCATAAAGAATGATTTCTTAATTGAATTTTATTATTATTGTATGATCAGACGATCACGATATACTTTCTTTTGAAACATATGAAATAAATCCGACTGAAAAACGAGACGTAAGTTATTATTCTTATTATTTCAATTATATACATTTAAATTAACTATTACATGTAAATATAGAGACCATTACGTCCTCATGAAGCTGAAAAAGCGAAAAAAACACCCTCAGAGTCATTCGAAATACCAGAAGATATCAAACAGGTAAATTTAAATAATCAATAAAGGAATTTTGTAAATAGAGTTTAAGAATTAAATTAAAAATTTAACGCCGAATTTACACCTCTTATATAATGATTAGCGTATTGAAAATATTCAAAAGATAGTAACGAAGACGGAGGATACGCGTGAAAAAGGAGATCCGAGAAATCTTGATTTCATAAGAGGAATGCAAATCAGGATACTTGAATCACTTGATAGAGTACATGAACAATTACGTGTCTTAGATGCTAATCCGAAAAGCAGTGATAACTATTATAGTGGTTCAAGCAAGACAGAAAGTCAATTGACTGCCGTTTCGTAAGTTCTAAGCTCAAGAGACACTTGTCAGTACGTAAATGTTCTTCTGGTTTTTATGAATTGTTTCTAAATATACCTGATTATTTGTTGTTCCTTCAAATATAGACAAAAATTGGATAAAATTATTTCAAGTATCACGTCACTAGAAACAAGAATATCTCGAATTCCTTTAGATGGAGGAAATGACCATGCAATTAGGGATTTAAAGGAAGATGTGCAACGCATAGCGAGTAAAATTGAGTCTTTAGATGTGAGTCGTTTTATTCCACGTTCTCCATTTTTATATACTAAAATTTACTAATTCATTGAACCTGTTAATTAGACTCGAATCGCTGGACAATTCTATCAGACACAAAGAAGTTTTCATGATGCTGCTAAACTTCGAGATAAAGATTCGTCAACCACGTCAATATGGATATATGTAATTTACTTTACTTTATTTGCAATCCTAACCATTGGCGCATATATATTATACCAAACAAAAATGGAATTAGATCAAAAGAAGTTTATTTGAATATTACAATTTATAAATTTAGTTTTACAATTTGAGTGACATAATATTAAATAGATCACGATAAGACGTTGGATCATTTTTATGATGTCACATATACGAAGATAAACCATTAATGAGAACAAATATCGTTTTATAAGTTACATTACATGACTGTTATGAGTGTATTTAGTGAGATAATTTTTTGATATTTATTAATCGCTACCGATTTTTTTTAAGTTTTCCATCTTGGTCGTTTCGACTGGTGATCTATTGTTAAAAAAAATTAATACGGTAATTCAAATAATATATATATGTTTAAACATCTTTACCCGATAAATATCAATTCTTTAAGAGAAGTTGTTTCTTGATCTCCTATATTATCCTCGATAAATAACTGTCGATAAAAAAAAGTAAAATAAAATCAAACCAATGGTTTCCGACTAAATTCAAAACTAAGCACCAAAGTTATAGGTTACAATGCCAAAACTTACAATAATATTCGTCACACTTTGAAATTTAACAAATCTTAATGGAATGACAACATTTTCTTCGTAATCTTTCAGAGCCAATTGGAGTAATTGTGTCTCCTCAGTAGAATCTGTTTCATCGAAACCGATATTGATTCTGTTAGCATAAAGTTTGATCGTCTTTGGAGCGTGTTCTGTAACAATAGACAACACATTAATACATAAACATAATATTACTTGATTTAATTGTTCGATATGATTAGTTAAATAACGAAAATCGCGAACAAACCAATATCCTTTGCGACAAGCTTTATTGAGTGAAGTCTAACAGCTTGATTAAATGGAACAGATATCAAGAGCTGTTCATCGACATCCGATTCAATATATGTGTCGTCTTTAGTGAAAATACTTTTAGCTACGTGATTTTCTTTTAGGTTAAGACAATCAACTTGATTGAGTGTGATAAATTCATTTATATCCGTCTTTATAAAAAAATTTTTTTTTAATTTTCATTAACAATCTATAATACATTAACTATACACTTTTTTATCTTACATACATGACCCTGAATATTCAGTGAACTCGAACCACATTCTTCAGGTGACCCCACATGCTGCGCAACGAGCCTTTTGAGTTCTTCACCATTGGCACCTACCAATTGCGCAATTTGTTGACCGTTCTTAAAAAACTTGAATGTCGGCCTAAAATTTATATGAAACAGTCCATTTATTTGTCAGCAGCTTTATATGAATACTCAATGATCCCTTAAGAAATTAATTATTTTACATTGATCTGACTTGAGCTGTAGTAGAGACATCGTTTAATTGATCAACATCAACCTAATATGATATGTTTAATGAACCATTATACAAAAGTTGTTCCTTTAATCTTTTTAAAAAAAGCAGAGGAGATTTACCTTCGCAAAGTTAGCATGTCTATACTTTGAGCTTAATTCATTAAAAGTAGGCGCGATCATATGGCATGGTTGACACCAAGTTGCATAAAAATCCACCACAGTCTAAAAAAAGTTGAAAAAAACCGTTTAAAATGATATATAAATGATTTAATTCAAATTATATGCATACTAGTTTTGGTGAAGCAATAAGTTCTTGATACTCGGCTAAGCTCTGAATGTTTTTGATGTAAGACATTGTACGTAAAAAAAAAAATCGAGATAGTCATTTATATAGCTTTTTTTTCGGAAATAACTTTACGTCGCCCATTGGCCAAAGTTTATAACGTGACATTGACCCACACTAGATTTCATAAGAATCAATATGTTTAGTTTAGAATCATGTTTTTGATTCTAAATATATAAAATCAAATATTACGTTTAATTGCTATACGTATAACTAAAAATTTTAAAGGGTTAGATATATACTATATAATTATACAAATTGAATAACCTATTAAGTATGAATAATACTCTATCTGATATACAGTCCAATCCATTGAACCAGAAGGTGTGGAACATTGGACATAGTCCAATAGGGCTCCTAGGTTCGGTTCGGATAAGTCAGGACTTAAACTTTAAATTTTGCTAATTTCTAACTTTAAACCAGACTTAAACTCAATTAAGAGTTTGGTCTGAAGTTTGCAAATTAGCTTGAGTTCAAATATACATATACATATATATAATATGCATGATGGCAGACTTTTGTATCAGTTTTGACAGGTTATTAGTTTTGAAATACTAATAATTTATTAGCTATATAGCTATAAACAAATATGGTTGGTTAGATTTATTTCTTATATTTATAATATGTTATACAAGTTAATTTGAGCTAATCAAATCTGTTTATTTTACCTATCTTATAAATATCTTTTTTTTTTTTTTTTAAATATTAAGGTAAGTACTTGTGATTCAGGATTTTATTGATAATATATTTGACTAATGATTGCATTACAATCACAGGAAGCAACCATGAAAAAAGTATACAATTAGTCACTTATACAATTTTAGTTATTGTTTAATTTAAGTAGTCTGTTTAAAGGTTTTATACTAATTATTATATCTGAAACCTGTCTGTAGGTTTTCTATTTAACTATTCTAGTTTTTGTATCCATCCACCTACTTCTATCTACCAATAACCTTGGTTGATGTTGGTAAAAATATATCATGATCATTAAGTCTTTAAAGCAGTTCACTTATATAAGAAATCTTTGATCTTGTATTAAATATTTTAGAATTTTCTATATCTTATTTTTATAGTTGATCTAATATTGCTATAATCAAGACCAATACTGACAGTCAAGATGTATTATTAAACTGCTATGTTTTTGTAGAGTTCATCTTAACCCTGATATTGACTTTACAATATATCTTTACTATTTTGGTATTTAATTCAAGTTTCATCAAGTTCTCAAATCAGATAGCTCAGAATAGCAAGTCATAATTATATATTTCTGATATACATATTTATTAACATATAATTTTTTTCTCTAAAATGAATTTCAATAGTCTGATTGGTTCTATTTAGTTCTTTCTCAAAAACTGGTTCTTTGACTAGTTTTACAAATTCTAGCTTAGTTTCATAGGTCTAATTTTTACAATAACATTATTAAAAATTTAGGTTATCTCACTATTTGAGTCTTCTAAGTAGGTTTCTGTCTTTCTATTTAGTTTCTGTGATTTATACAATCTAAGAACTTCTTATCTTGGATTTATACCACCTGGTACCAGTTTGTGTTTTTTATACAATATTATACAAATGTCTAGACCTTTCAGTCATGCTAGTATGATATAGGTTACAGATATTTTATCCCAACCAATTATAAAAGACAGTTAAATATAACATAGAACAAATTACAAATTTTCATTATTACTAAGATTTGAATTCTAGATCTGCTATTTGGGGGTTAACAACCTATCTACTTCATTAGATTATCTTATAAATATTTTAATGTTTATTAGTTATCAGATTTGACAGATTATCAGATTTGTCTTATAGAACAGTCATAGTGATTTGATTTTTTATTAGTTATTACAGATTATTAGTTTTAACAAATTATATTGTATATATATTTGTACTAAACAAGTTTACTTAATATATATAATTAGAATTAATTATTAAAATTTTAAGTATTATAATATAATTTACTTTTTTTTCTATATTAGTATATATTTATTTTTAGCTTTATATTATATTTTATATTTTTTCTAATATTTTTATATAGTTTATAGATTATTTTATTAGTTTTAATCACCTATTTAATAGGTTAATATTTATTTTATTAATAGATTTCTTATAGTATTTTATTTTAGCTAATAGTTGTTAGAATATCTAAAAATACAGTTGTTTAGTGTTACAAAGACCCTGATCAAAGACTCCAGGTTATACTACAGATACTTCAGGTACTCCAAAACATTCTAAAATAATGGAACAATTAATTTAATTATAGTTAATTAATATTTATTAATTATAATATAACATTTACTATAGTGTTACTATATAGTTTCTATGTATTACTATAGTTATTTTTAGTTGTGCTTAGGAAAACACCTATAAGAAGGCTTCTGAATGCTAAATGACTATAAAGAGTTTTGTAAATGAACATATAAGTTATACAATGATATTTGTTTTATTTTTAGTTAATATATAAGTTATTGCATAATAGAACACTAAGCATTAATAAAAATAAAAAGATACAGGATTGGTTTACCATTTATGCACAAGCATTATTAGTGAAATGCATATGGAATTTTTTAATTTCTGCTGCATTTTGGATGTCCATATGGTTCAGAATGATGCTACAACACATAGTAGCTCAAAAACCAATTAATTATTAGGTTAAAAGCTATAAAAAGGAGATCTTTTTGCACTTTTAAAAGACAATACCTTCTATAATTTCTTTTAACTTATTTTCTTATATAAAAATTTTTTTGGTATTCAAATTATTCTTTAATAAAATATTATTTTACTTATTATCATTAATAAAACTATTCTTTATTCTATTCTTTTATCTTATTGCTTCTATAAATTATCTTTCTTTATTTAAT